CTCCTGGTCAGAGGCTTTATTTTGTATGCAGTGTTACATTTCAACTTGATCAATTTAATGGTGCAACACTTAAATATGTAGCATTTCATGAATTGTAGATTGCTCTCTCCCAGGGGAGAGGGTTTCTTCACCATGGTCTGTCAGATACAGCGTGAACACTTCCAAAATGAGCACTGTCTGAGGAGCAGGGCTGAGAAACAGAGTTTTAATTGATTCAGTTCTTACTAAAACAATAAGAATTAAGGCAATACAGCATGTCGTTCATCCAGAAGATTAGATATTTCTTTAAAAGACAGATTTCTAGATTTCAGATGGCACTGAGCGGATTTCTTTGGCGCCGACAGACACGTGAGTAAGTTTGTCAGCTGTGACTTTTAATAAAAGTGATCTGTTGTTCTTTCCACTGTGTCCTTTCTTTAGCTCACCTGCTATCATGCTTTCCAGAGCGGCCACCATGGCTGGGGTCACTGCTCACAAGATAAGTAAACACATCACCTTCCTCGCCAATGACGTCGCTGGGACTCCCACGGCTAGTGTTTCACCTGCTCACCCTAAACCCATATTGCTGTTGCTGCCATGGCTGGGCTCCAGACCGCAGGCCATTGCCAAGTACTGTGACATTTACTTTCGCACAGGCTTTGATGTGCTCATAGTGGAAAGTGCGGTGAGCCAGTTCTTGTGGCCCCGCTGGGGGTTGGAGTATGGTGGCCATGTGCTGGAATTATTAGAGAGCGAGCGCTTCTCACAGCGCCCCCTACTGGTCCATGCTTTCTCCATAGGTGGATATACATTTGCTCAGGTGCTTGTTCATGTGGCCAAAGACACCCAGCGTTACCAAGGCCTGACAAACAGGATCAGGGGTCACATCTACGACAGCCTTGTCATGGGATCGCTGGAGCATATGGCCAACGGTGCGTACAGAGATAGCAATGTAAAGCGTGTTTATATATATATATATATATATAGTGCATTGCGAAAGTATTCATACCCCTTCATTTTTTTTTCACGTTTTGTTATATTGCTGCCTTATGCTAAACTGCTTTAAATTACTTTTTTTTCC